GATTAAATGAAGTCTGAAGATTTGCTTCCAAATGAGCCAGTGGTGGGGAGGGAGTGCGGACAAGACAAGATAGGCCATCTTGATAGTTGCTGGAACTAGACAATGAGCACATGGAAATTCATCCTGTCATCTCTCAAGTGATGTGTATGTTTTTACATTTCCAAAATAAAAAGGGGTTTTAGTATGTGGACTCAATCACATTTTTCTAGTCGGAAAAAACCATCTGGATTTCTTGCTCGCTCTAACCTGTCTCAGAAATTCTTCCTCTGAGGTTTCCCTTGTTACTTTATTTTACAATGACCTGTGTAAATACTAGCTAGAAGAGGATTAGCCATATACAAGAAGGATTGGTTAAATATTCAGATTGGGTTGCTCAGGGAGGCCTTTACAATTAGCAGTTATTGAGCCTCAGATAAAGCTCATTGGCCACAGTGCAAAGCTGAGGGAGGCCTTCCAACAGCATTAAAAATCTCTGCTCCTGGGCACCTGGGTGGCTCAGTGGGTTAAGCGGCTGCCTTTGTCTCGGGTCATGATCTCAGGGTCCTGGGACCAAGCCCCGCATCGGGCTCTCTGCTTAGCAGGGAGCCTGCTTCCCTCTCTCTCTCTGCCTACCTCTCTGTCTACTTGTGATCTCTCTCTGTCAAATAAATAAAATTAAAAAAAAAAAAAAGAACCTCTGTTCCTTTGCACGAACAAAGATAACAAGGGGCATTAACAGTTACTGACATCATTCTTCTGCATTTTAAAATACATATGCATAATTACTTATTGTCCAATTCCCACTAGATGTAAGCTCCAGGAAAGTGATATATTTTTTTAATTTTTCATTTTTTAAATTTCTTTTCAGTGTACCAGAATTCATTGTTTATGCACCACACCCGGTGCTCCATGCAATACATGTCCTCCACAATACCCACCACCAGGCTCACCCAACCTCCCATCCCCCGCCCCTTCAAAAACCTCAGAATGTTTTTCAGAGTCCATAGTCTCTCGTGGTTCGTCTCCCCTTCCAATTTCCCTCAACTTCCTTCTCCATCTCTCCATGTCCTCCGTGTTATTTCTTATGCTCCACAAATAAGTGAAACCATATGATAATTGACTCTCTCTGCTTGACTTAGTTCACTCAGAATAATCTCTTCCAGTCCCATCCATGTTGCTACAAAAGTTGGGTATTCATTCTTTCCGATGGAGTCATAATACTCCATGGTATATATGGACCACATCTTCCTTATCCATTTGTCCGTTGAAAGGCATCTTGGTTCTTTCCACAGTTTGGCGACCATGGCCATTGCTGCTATGAACATTGAGGTACAGATGGCCCTTCTTTTCACTATATCTGTATCTTTGGGGTAAATAGTAGTGCAATTGCGGGGTCATAGGAAAGCTCTATTTTTAATTTTTTGAGGAATCTCCACACTGTTTTCCAAAGTGGCTGCACCAACTTGCATCCCTACCAACAGTGTAAGAGGGTTCCCCCTTCTCCACATCCTCTCCAACACACGTTGTTTACTGTCTTGTTAATTTTGGCCATTCTAACTGGTGTAAGGTGGTATCTCAATGTTGTTTTGATTTGAATCTCCCTGATGGCTAGTGATGATGAACATTTTTTCATGTGTCTGATAGCCATTTGTATGTCTTCATTGGAGAAGTGTCTGTTCATGTCTTCTGCCCATTATTTGACATGATTATCTGTTTTGTGTGTGTTAGTTTGAGAATTCTTTATAGATCCTGGATATTAGCCTTTTGTCTGTACTGTCATTTGGAAAGCGATATTTTTTACCCATTGTACCCCTAGTGTCTAAAATGTTACCTACTATAATATACATAGTTTAAGTATTCTATTGTGTTTTCACTTTAAAAATTTACATAATTGCAGATACGTTCTTACGTAGAATAACAATACCCTATTCTTTCGTTAACATACCATTGTCTGCCAAGTCTTTCAAGAGAAGTAGTTTAAAAATAGGACAGCATCTCATTCTTCGGGCCATTGGGATGAATTGATTTAATTTATATTCCTCTGCAGATCTTTCACATCTTCAAGGTTCTTTTATTTTATGACAAAACCATAGTTCTAGAAGCTTGTTCCTCACACCTGAAAAGACTGGATAAGGAACATGATCCTGTAGAACAGAAGAGGTAAGCCTGATAAATCTGAACACAGCGGGGTCTGAAGGTTGGGAAAGAAGGCTGAGTGCTCATGCGTGGTGTTAGTAGTGGGATGTGAGAGAGATTAGCTCAAAGCAAGAGAATTCAAAGAAGAAATGAGTCCATTTACAGAAAGGGGGGGATATTCAGAAGAGGTTGACGGCACCAACCATGAAATTTTCCTGGGAAGTAGACCTGTGTATAAGCAATATAAGTGCTGTGGTTTCATGAAGAATGTACTCCTGGAGTACCTGGCTGGCTCGGTCCATAGAGCATACAACTCTTGATCCTGGGGTCATGAGTTAGAGCCCCACAGTGGGTATAGAGATTACTTAAAAAAAAAAAAAAATCAAAATAATGCATTCCTAAAGACAGCATCATTTAAAATCTGCATAATTCAGGACTAATTTTCTCACGGGACTAGATGAAAAGCAGGTGTATGTTTTATAAATCTGTAACTATTGTGGCAGATTTTTTTTTTAAGATTTTATTTATTTATTTGACACAGAGAGAGAGAGATCACAAGTACACAGAAAGGCAGGCAGAGAGAGAGGGGGAAGCAGGCTCCCTGCTATCCCAGGACCCTGAGATCATGACCTGAGCCAAAGGCAGAGGCTCAACCCACTGAGCCACCCAGGCACCCCGTGGCAGATTTTTTAAAATAGTGCTTTTATATATATCATTATTCTTGCTAAAATATATCATTATTCTTGTTCTAGAGTTTTGACTTCTAAATGCACAGTGTGATCTATCAAAGTTAATTTAATTTAATTTAATTTATTTATTTATTTGACAGAGATCACAAGTAGGCAGAGAGGCAGGCAGAGAGAGAGGAGGAAGCAGGCTCCCCAATGAGCAGGGAGACTGATGCGGGGCTCCATCCCAGCACACTGGGATCATGACCTGAGCTGAAGGCAGAGGTTTTAACCCACTGAACCACCCAGGTGCCCCATCAAAGTTTTTACTTAAAGTTCTTTACAGTGTTTTAGCACACCTGACTTGTATTCCAAAATTATTGATTTGAGGTCTATTTTCCCAGCCATGGCACCACCATCCAATCAATGCTTGGAGATTAAAAAATTTTAATTATAATACAAAAACACAGCAACACAATAACAAACAAAATCACCACCAGAAGTGCTTCCTACCTGTAAACAACACGATTCACATCATTAAACTGTGGCAGATGTTTCTTTCTAAGGTGTTAATCCTACTAAGGAACCAGAAGAGCATACAGTTTCAACTCATAAAACTAAAATTATTTTTTACTGCTTTTTAAAAAAGTGTTAATCCTACTAAGGAACCAGAAGATCATACAATTTCAACTCATAAAACTAAAATTATTTTTTACTGCTTTTAAAAAAATTGGGGCATTATACATTTGTTCACATTTTGCTTCTAAGACACTTTTTATATCGTACACATTCTAAATTGGCAGCCCCTCTTAAGTGTGTCTTCTTGAGTGAGGAAAGAGGTCAATAAAGTGATGAAAAGACATTGATGCAACTAGAAACGATCCCTTCAGCTTTGGAACTCTAAGGCAACTGTCTGCAAATAATTTGTAACATCTATGTTATTGTTTTGAACTGATATTCTGAATGTTTATTGCTGTGTTTTGGGGGCAAAATCATCTCAAGAACCACTCTTGTAATTATCCCCTGTCTCCTCCATCATTAGCGTTCTCCGCTATACTGTATCATTCATAGGAGTAGAGTCAGTAGTGTGGTGGTAAATGTTTAATATCCAGCTTTGGGGGGGTAGGGTGAGTGGGGGAAAGCCTTAGGTGGTAGTGGTGTGGTGTAAATACTTCCACTCGTGGCCAATTTCAAGATACCAGCATGGAAATGAGGTGCAAAATTGGGTCTCCCAAGCCAGTATGATCCAGCTCCAATATATCCCTGAAAATGTTTTTCAAACCTCAGTTGATAACGCGCTAATGGGTCTTGCAAACATTTTAGTGGCAGCATTTTTTAAATGAAAAATTAGAGTGCTTTGCATAACAAGTGTATTGTTTTGCAAAGTTTTTTTTCATAATTTTAAATATGTATGCGACAAGTCACAATGTACATGTAGTTCTTATTGTGGCTTACTCAATTGAGTCTACAAGGCACCACTGTAGTATCTTCTTTTTTTAAAGATTTAATTAATTTATTTGAGAGAGAGCGCGCGCACAAGTGTGCATGAAATGGGGGTGGGAGGGGAAGGGAGGGGAGGGGAGGGGAGTGCGTGACGTGAGGTGGGAGAGTGGGAAGGAGGGGCAAAGGGAGAGCAAGAGACAAGCAGACTCCACGCCGATTGCTTGAACATGAAATCTTTGCGGTGCCTAACAGAAAACAGATGGCAAGCAGCCAGCTGTTCAAGTGGCTTACATAACTTGATTTGCATTTGTTTTTACAGCAAACCAGCGGCCAGTGTGGGTCCCTGACCGAGAAATCGGTTATTTACTGGACATCTAAGTCTGCTCGTAACTGTGCCCCATCCTGCTGGCACTGTTCCCTAGGGGAGGCGTGTAACTTAGAAAACCAACTCGTCAAGTACTTGACGAGTCGTCCACAGCTGCGGCAAGTCCAAGTTAAAGTAGCCCGACGCAGCGCGCGGGGCTGGGCGCCGTGCAGCGGTACCGAACCCGCTCCCCGCCCATGTCACGGGTACCCAGGTTGTGTACGGGCAAAAAGGGGCGCCTCCAGGTCGGGTTATCTTTCACAGCACCATCTGCACTCTGACCCGAGGCAGAGGCCGGGACACGTGCGCGGGCGGAACACGCGGGGCCCAGGGTGCTCCAGTTTTCTCCTTTCCAGCCCATTTCCCCGCCCTCCCACCCCAACCACGGGGCAGGCCAGCCGGGCCTAGGCAGGCGGGCGCGCTCAGGAATTTTTAAAACACACCCTGCTGTCCTCCCTCACCGTCCGTCCCGCAGCAAGCCGAGGGCGGAAGGTCCGCCTGGGGGCGATCCGCGGCCACCGGCGCGCAGCAGACACACACAGGCGGGCTCGCCGGCGACGCCCTCCCGGGCCTGCGAACCGCGAAACGGAGGCGGACTGACTCCTCTGGCTTGCCGTAGTCGCCCACGCCTCACGGGGTCCCCGGGACGCGCTGCGGCAGAAGAACAGTCCGGTGCACGACGGACGCCTGCGACGCCAGTCCCGGGGTGAGTCGGCCGACGGCGGTTCGCTGGGGGCGCGGCGGCAGAGGAGGGGCCGCGGACTTCGTCGTCTGCGAGTCGGAGTTTGGTGTCTGGGACGTCTGGGGGGCACCCGTTCCACAGGTTCTCTCCGCGGCCGCGTGGGGCGGGGTGGCGGGAGGCTCCCGGGAGGGACTCGCCGCGGGACCTGTGGCCCGGCCCTCCCGGCTGCCGCTGCGGGCTGCCCCGCCGCAGACCCTCCCCTCCGCACCTGCTGGCTTCCAGCCCCAGCCGAGCGCCGCCTGCCCCCGGGGGGTCTGGACACTTGGGGACGGACCTCCTCTGCTCTCCGGACTCTCCGCAGACACGTTCGTTCAAGATGCCGAGTCATTTGCAGCGTTAAAAAGTTGGGAGTGTAGTAGCTTTGACTGTCGGTGAAACGTGGTGGTGGCTTTTTGTGAAGCGAATAAACAGCGGGACCCGTCCGTTTGGGAATGACTGGTTTCACGCAAGCCTGTGGTTTAAACCGGGTACACTCTGGTCTTGATGTAAATTATCAGTGTGGCCGTGGCATCTCTGTCCTTTCTGTTTGCTCGGATTCACCCTTCCTGAATTTGACGGAGCGGAAGGGTTTTGAGGTTTTGACTAATGTCTAAATTGATGGCAGGCTGGGGTTACATTTAGGGGGTAAACCTAGAGGGAGGCAGTATTTTGTTCATAGAAACTCGTAGATGCGGTTACTGCGTATTTGTGGTGCGGTGTAATGACAGTTGGCGGAAGTAAAGGTAGGAAGCTTCACTTTCGGTTCTCTTTTAGTTCTGCTCGACGACTTCAAGGCTTCGCTGGAGCTAGTTAATGTGAACTTCTATCAGATGAGTACTTTTATCTTAATGCGCAGCAGCCCCCGCCCCTCCCCGCGGGTAGTATTTGTTGTTTTAAGCCACAAGGGAAACTATATCATTGTTATCGAAGGGATTGGGTTTTTTTCTTTTTTTTCAGATTTTATTTATTTATCTATTTGAGAGAGAGCGGGAGCATGAGCCCGGGGAAGGGACGGAGGGAGAGGGACAAGCCGACTCTCCGGGGAGCTGGGAGCCCAGATCAGGACCCCAGCCAGAGTCAGAGCTTAACTGACTGAGTCACCCAGGCGCCCCTGGATTTTTTTTCTTTTTGACTTGTTTAATGTGGAGGAGGAAGAGCAATGGCTCCTATTAAAATAAGAGCAAGCATTTATAAAGCACTTACTATTCCACTGTTTTATTAATTCATTTAATCGGAACAAACCTGTAAAGTGAATGCTATTCTTATTCTCACTTTACAGGTGAGAAGAGCTAAATGAGTATCTTTAGTAATTACAGGACTCTTTGCTATTATTTTATTTTTAGTAATAAATTCCAAATTAGAGATTTTCTATGCATGTATTCTAAATTTATTATTTGGTTTTATTTTTGTTTGAGCAACTTTAGAATTTGGGTGGCAAAAATAAGGGACAATTAGTGCTAATTTTGCTTATCACAATTAACGTCGTCTTTCCTCCTGCTGTTACTAATTTGCCTGCATGATCCGATAAACTTGGTCTTCTTTTTTAATTGAAGAATAATTGACATATATTGTGTTAGTTTCAGGTGTAACATTGAGTCTGTATTTATAAAGTTTATATACATTATTTATGAAATGATCACAATAAATCTAATGAACATCTACCACCACAAAGTTGTTACAGTATTATTGACTATATGTGTATGTAGTAAACGTTGGTTACTATAATGGAACCAACAGGAGTCTGCTCCTTGATGAGTCAGAGATAGAAACTACACCCGGGTGAGTTGTCCCACAAAGGAAGCTTTGTTTGCATCAAATAAGGAGATCCTGGGGAATAACTTTCAAAGCTGGGACTCCCCTAGGCAAGGTGAATGGGTTGTTATGTAAGTGAAGTTTGTGCTTCTCCTGGGTATTATATTAGTATTATAATGAGGTCAAGGTTATTCTGGAGGTCACTCCTTGGTCCATCTGTACAAGCCTGAGTCAGGGGTTTAGGGCCACCAGAGTTCTTCCTCTGGTCATTATTATTTTTATTTATTTATTTGAGAGAGAGAGAATGAGAGGAGAGAGGTCAGCAGGAGGAGCAGACTCCCTGCAGAGCAGGGAGCCATATGCAGGACTCAATCCCAGGACTCCAGGATCATGACATGAGTCCAAGGCAGTTGCTTAACCAGCTGAGCCACCCAGGTGCCCCTTTGGTCATTATTGATTGAGATGTTTCCATCATGGGATTTTTTTTTTTTTAAAGATTTTATTTATTTATTTGACAGACAGAGATCACAAGTAGGCAGAGAGGCAGGCAGAGAGAGAGGAGGAAGCAGGCTCCCCGCTGAGCAGAGAGCCCGATGCCGGGCTCGATCCCAGAACCCTGAGATCATGACCTGAGCTGAAGGCAGCGGCTTAACCCACTGAGCCACCCAGGCGCCCCTCCATCATGGGATATTATGCCCACGGGGTCTTTTGCCTGAATTAAGACATAAGCTGTAAAGAAGAGCTTAAGGAAAAATGCAGGATACCAAGGTTGGTGGGTAGAAGGAGGTGGGTGGTAAAGGTCATGTCTTGGGGGTCTAGTTGGTGATGTCACCCTACAAGATTGTTACAATATTAGTGACTATATTCCGCATTATATCCCTTTTATTATTTACTTTATAACTGAAAGATTCTGTCTCTTCATTTCCTTTACCTGTTTCCTCCATCCCTCCTACCCCTGTTCCTTCTGGCAACATGAGTCTCTTTTCTGTTTTGTTACATACTTCACTTAGCCTAACACCATCTAGATCCATCCGTGTTTGTTACAAATGTCAAGATTTCATTATTTCTTATGTCTGAGTCATATTCCATTATACAAATAAACCACATCTTTACCAGTTCAACTATGATGGACATTAGGTTGCTTCCATATCTTAGCTATTGTAAATGCTGCTATGAACATAGGATTATATATGCCTCTCCTAATTAGTGTTTTTCATTTTCTTGGGTAAATATCAAGAAGTGGAATTGCTGGACCATATGACGGTTCTATTTTTAATTTTTTGAGGAACTTCCATACTGTTTCCCGCAGTGGCTGTACCAGTTTACATTCCCACCATCAGTGCACCAGGGTTCCCTTTTCTCCACATCCTTGTCAACACTTGTAATTTCTTGTCTTTTTGATTTTAGCCATTCTGACAGGGGTGAGGTGATCTCTCATTGTGGGTTTGGTTTGCATTTCCCTGGTGGTTAGTGATGTTGAGCATCTTTTCTTGTACCTGGTGCTTATCTGTATGTCTTCTTTGGAAAAAGGCCTATTCAGGTATTCTCATTTTTTAATCATACTGTTTGCTTGAAACTGAGTTGTATTATTTTATGTATTTTGGATGTTTTATGTATGTATTTTATGTATTTTGGTTGTTAACCCTGATTGGGGTATAATTTGCAAATATCTTCTCCCATTCGGTAGGTTTCCCTTCTGTTTTGTTGGTTTCCTTCACTGTGCAAAAGCTTTTTATTTTGTTGTTGGCCCATTTGTTAATGTTTTGTCCTTGCCTGAGGAGACAGAGCCAAAAAGATGCTGTTGACACTGATGTTAAAGAGCTTACTGCCTATGTTGTATGAGTTTTATGGTTTCAGGTCCTATATTTTATAAGTTTTTAATCCGTTTTTAGTTTATCTTTGTATTTGTTACAAGAAAGTGGCCCAGTTTCTCTTTTGCATGTAGCTGTCCACGTTTTCAACGTCAGTTATTAAAGAGACTGTCTTTTCCCTATTGTTGCCTCCTTCGTCGTAAATTAATTGACCACGTAACCATGGGCTTATTTCTGCGCTCTCTGTTGTGTTCTGTTCATCTCTTTGTTTTTTATTACTCTACCTTGTAGTGTACTTCAAAATCTCGGAGAATGATACCTCCAGCTTTGTTCTTCTTGTCAGGATTGCTTTGGCTACTAGTTTTTTGTTTCTGTTTGTTTGTTCTGTTTGTTCCATACAGATTTTAGGATTATATTTTCTAGTTCTGTGAAAAATGCCATTGCTATTTTGATGGGGATTGCATCAGATTTTTTTTTTTTTAAGATTTTATTTATTTATTTGACAGAGAGATCACAGAGAGAAGAGGCAGGCAGAGAGAGGGGGAAGCAAGGCTCCCCGCCGAGCAGAGAGCCCGATGCAGGGCTGGATCCCATCATGACCTGAGCCCAAGGCAGAGGCTTTAACCTGCTGAGCCATCCAGGTGCCCTGCCTCAGATCTTCTGATTGCTTAGGGTAGTTTGGACATTTTGACATTATTAATTCTTCCAGTCGGTGAACATCGTATATCTTTCTATTTATTTGTGTCCTCTTCAGTTTCTTTCATCAGTGTCTTAGAGTTTTGAGATTCTAGGTTTTTTACCGCCTTGATTAAATTTATCTCTAGGTACTTTATTCTTCTTGATGTAATGGTAAATGGGATTGTTAATATCTGTTTCTGAGAATTCATTATTAGCGTATAGAAATGCACTCATTTCTGTATACTGGTTTTTATATCCTGCAACTTTACTGATTTCATTTATTCTAATAGTTTTTTGGTGGAGACTTTAGGGTTTTTTATACATAGTATGTCATCTGCAAATAGCAACAGTTTTACTTCTTTCTGTCCAATTTGGATCCCTTTTATTTTTTTCTTGCTTAATGGCTGTGACTAAGACTAGGACTAGTACTGTTTTGAATACAAATGGTGCAAGTGGGCAGATTTGTTCCTGATTTGAGAGAAGCTTTCAGCTTTTCACCATTGAGTAGGTTGTTAGCTGTGGGTTTGTCATATACGTGACCTCTATTATGTTGAGGTATGTTTCCTTTGTACTCACTTTGTTGAAAGTTTTTATCAGAAGTGGATATTGAGGGGCGCCTGGGTGGCTGAGTGGGTTAAGCCTCTGCCTTTGGCTTAGGTCATGATCTCAGGGTCCTGGGATCGAGCCCCACATCGGGCTCTCTGCTAGGTGGGGAGCCTGCTTCCCCTTCTCTCTCTGCCTGCC